CAAACACAGTCAGAAACAATTTTGGGAAACGAAGTACAGGCAAATATTTGGAAAACAACTTATAACTATCAGTACAAATCAATGCGTGTAGGCATTGTGTTCAACATGTATGGGAATTTGTTTGTCAAAGTCAACTTACGGTCAACATAAATTTTAGGGGGAAATAATACTGTGGGTCAGTTATCTTCAAAATTTATGAAGAATGGGTCATGTAAAGAAACGTTCCACATTGCAAACATATCAAACAAATATATATATATATATATATATACATGAAACGATACTTTAAAAGGTGAAATTCAAAGAAGATCACACATATGTCAACTATAATGTATCACTAGAAACTGGTAAGCTAACAGATGGCCATCGTACAAGTTCTAGGGCAACTACATATCGGGTGATTTATAAAAATACAAATACAACCACCTCCATAGCAGCAGGGATATACGAGAGATTCGACGGATATATAACGATGTGTTAATGACGTCACTATATGGACCAACACTACCCAAGCAGACGACATCCCATAGCGAATGAACATAATTGCAAAGCTATTATTTCTCAAATTATAATGCGTTTAGTGTATATAAATGTAATGGCATGTCAAACCATTCAAAGGGGGATATGACCCGATTCTGATGACTAAAATCTTTTGCTTGTAAATACACAGGATAGGGGTTAATTAACAATCAAAGAAACCAGACTTTCAAATTGAAAACCCCCGGAATGATATTAAGGAGGGCATTTGTTCCCTCCTGAAACGCCGAACATACCCCGGTGTCTGCAGCTGAATATACAATGGCGTCTTATTTTGTTTACAGGCGACAGATTCCTTTATTTTGTATTGCTCCATTTGTCATCAAAATAAAACTATGCGCGGAGATTAGAGTGAGGTAATAGATTATACATTTAGCCTGACGGTAGTAAAGTAAGAGAAAGAACTCGAGAGAAGATGAAAACACAGGCACTGAAAATGTGTGAGATGTCATGGGACATCGTCTGCTTGTGCAAGTCATGTCCATACTGTGATCTCACACATCTCAGCAGCGTTCGGAGTGGTCCTATGCCGGGTCTGTATTTAAGCGTTTTGTAATTTATAATAATCATTACTTCGAATGTTTCCAAGCATTGAATTTTGATAACCTTGTCGAATTAAAGTTTCAACTTTGCAATAATGAAAATAAAGTTAGTTTTTAAAATTAATGAATATCTACTTTAAGAATATTTGCGAACAGCAGGTTGACTCAAAAAGATTTCCCCCTATTTATACCACGCACTGAACGATGAGGGCACTATATATTCACTGTGCGATTTCCGCTGTTTCGTGAGCATTTGCAGGCAGTACTCTGTTTCCCCAACTTTAACAAAAAAAATGTTTTAGCCCTCCATAGGCTATTTTATCGAGTCAAACAAACATATTACAATGCAATGAAATGAAGTCTTTCTTTAACTTAAACGATATAGGATACTTTAACATTTCTCTCCTTGTTGTTCACACAGTGACTGTTACTTAGTTAAAAAATAAATGTTTTACATACCAGCTATAGAATAAATATATCTCTTGTCTTCATAATATTGAATAATCTTCAAAGAACTTAATTTTGGAATTGTGTTTATCAAGCTTTTGTACGAATAGTTGATTCTTTTCCAATTTGCGTTTGACTAGAGCCTCCAAATAGAGTGGTAACGTCATCAAACAATCTATTTTTGGAATTTCTCTTTTTTTCTTCATTTTCTGAAAGAGCATGCAAAATATTGCCCATCCGTCGAAAACCAATTGAATACGTTAAGTATAGGCTGAGATATGACACCAGAATAAGAGGAACTCAGTGTTATGTTGCTCTGGATCGTAATGTTATGAGCCAGAGCAATATAACACTGAGTTGCCATAGATTATGATGTCACAGCTTCGGTACTGTATACCAAACAACACTGGCCATGCCCAAATTCCCTCATTTGCCTCTCATCTACCATCGACCCTCCTTGGACGCAATTTGGCTCGCATTGGAATACTTTATATGACATGCAAACAATGAGAAAAAAATAGCAATAAGACCTTTTACCTTTAAATTGTGAATACCACATTTACTGATTCCTTACCATCCCCATTATAGAACCCTAAACTTCTGTTGGATAATATTTATTTATAAAATCATTATCAAAGAAATAAGAAAATAAATGGAGAAATACGTTGTAACTGTTCTTTTTGGAAGAATATCTGGCAAGTAAGGAGTTAAGAGTTTACCCCCAAAAATGTCTCTTTGTGTTTCTTCTTTAAAGTATTATTAACAATATTGATATCAGTGATATAGCATCGCCAGTCTACCTTTCGTCGGCAACGTGATACTGTTGTCATTTGATTTCAGATGATCTCCGGGTTCGATTGGTCGGCGGAAGATCTGACAAAGAAGGCCGCGTTGAGATTCTATACCTCGGTACTTGGGGTACAGTATGTGATGATAACTGGGGCCTAAATGATGCCGACGTAGTTTGCAGAATGCTCGGCTACGAACGGGCGGAGAACTTTTCCTGTTGCGCTGCCTTTGGACTAGGACCTGGACCTATTGTCCTGGATGAAGTGGAATGCGAGGGTACAGAACCAGACATAGGCCATTGTCGAAGGAGTGGATACGAAACCCATGACTGTGATCACTCGGAGGATGTTGGTGTCTCATGCATCGAAAATGGTAATTGTTGATTCAGTGGCGGATCCAGGGGGGAGAGGGGGGGGGGGGGGGGGGGTGCCAGAGGGGTCCGCCCCCTGTTACACCCACAAATGTAATAACGCCCACAAATGTAATAACGTCCACAAATGTAATAACACTTTACCCACAAATGTAATAATTTCACCCACAAATGTAATTACCACTTTACCCACAAATGTAATAACCACTTTACCCACAAATGTAATAATTTTGAATCAACCACAAATGGGGGTGTTACACCCACAAATGTAATAACGCACACAAATGTAATAACACTTTACCCACAAATGTAATAACACCCACAAATGTAATAACACCCACAAATGTAATAACACTTTACCCACAAATGTAATAATTTCACCCACAAATGTAATAACCACTTTACCCACAAATGTAATAATTTGAAATCACCTACAAATGTAATAATGACTATACCCACAAATGTAATAAATTTGAAGTGATATTTTGTCGAATATGTTCAAACTAAAACCCTGTAATAAAGCATGGGTATAGCGCGCAGTCTTTACTTCAGACCGTCGACGATTTTTAATCATGTAAATATTCTAACGCCCACAAATATCCTGGAATTCAATGTTCGTAGAAAAAAAAGTAATCGAATGAGTGACCTTAAATGTATTTAAATATTGACGCTGATTGTTTTATGCATGTGATTATGAAATATGTTGGATGGTGGGTCTTAGTTTCGAATATTTCGTCCTTGTTTTCACGAAGTGACGGTAGTGAGGAAAATCGTATTAAACGCAAAGTGAATGCAATTTTTTTTCACTACCGTCACTTCGTGAAAACAGCGACGATTTGTTTAAATTTCTATTTCTTTTTTAAATAACCGAGTCTGAAGTAGAGACTACGCTCTAAATCCCAAGCTTTATTACCGGGTCTTAATTTGGAAGATGGAGGGGTCTTAGTTTAAAAGGTTTTTTCTTTGTTTTGTTTTGTTTAGTTTTTTTGTTTTTTTAACTTTTAAATAACCGGGTCTGGAGTAAAGACTGTGCTATACCCATGCTTTATTACAGGGTTTTAGTTTTGAACAAATTCGACAAAATATCACTTCAAATTTATTACATTTGTGGGTAAAGTCATCATCACATTTGTGGGCGATTCAAAATTATTACATTTGTGGGTGAAATTATTACATTTGTGGGTAAAATGTTTTTACATTTGTGGGTAAAGTGTTATTACATTTGTGGGTGTTACTACATTTGTGGGTGTAACACCCCCCCCCCCCCCTTGAGGAAAAAAAAAACATGTAAAAGCACGTGATTTTTACCTTTTGGGGGGTTGCCCCCCCCCCCCCTGGCGCTCAAGGGCGTTGGGGGGAGGGGGGGAGGGGGTGCAAAAATTTTAAATTTTCGAGGACCAAAAAAAAAAAGTGCTCAATACTGTTAGGATTTCCTACATAATACTTCCGTTAACTTTTACATTTTTCTACCTGTTTTGCAATGCAAACCTACACAAATCGTGCATTGCAAGTAAGATAAAATAAAAGTAACTTAATATGAAGGTTTTGATTTCCTTTAATTCAGGGCCCTAGCGTACTCTAGCACCGGTAAGGCGCCACCTAACTACTTCATTCCGTCGCTTGGTTTGGATAAATCATTCCCACTTATTTATTGCTATGCCTGACTATTTATAAAGGCAAAACACTAAATAAATATTGAGATTCGAACCTTCAAGACAACTCCAAGTTTCTATTAATAATACGCTGTCCTTACAGATTGAGCTAACGATGGGTTGATGAAAGGTTGATTTGTATAATTACCGTCACCCTATTAACAACCCTACCGGATTCCATGTGCGCATGCGCTGGTTTCCTTCGCGAGCTAAATCCGGGCTCGCTATAGCGCTATTGTAAGAAAAAATAAGACGCAACCGTTCAAGCCTAAGCACTTAGCATTTTGCGCCGGACCTCCTAATGTAATGGTCACGCCATCTTCGGCTAGCAGCAAGAAGCAAGTTGGTGGTGGAGATCAACATTAAATAGGCCATATTATAGACTACACTAACATTTTTGACTGCAACCATTTGTGAATAAGGTGACTTTTGGAATGATGCGGCGGCCCTATAATTGCTATTGGCCGTACATATTTTAGACCCCACGGCCGTGGCGGCAAACGAATCACACGTAACCGCGTTTCACCAATCATTTGATTATAAAGTAGAAGTGAGTTGTATAGAGATTAATTAGTGATATACATGTAACTATAGGCCTAATTTATATTCATTCATTGAAATATACAGAAGTGGAACAGGAATCTTCTACAACCAAGACACCGAATGACAGTGAAATGGGTCTCTCCCAGCCTGCCACATATGGTAAGTTAAATTGCAAGTTACTATTAGCCTTCAAAATGTTTACCTCATAGATCATTTCTATTAAATTCTTTTAGGCTTAAAGGGCTAGTTGAGTTCTGTTTTCAGACCACAAATTGCCTTCAAAGTGCACGGTTATTGCTCTTATTCTTATCTTTGACATTTATAGTGCCTTTTTAGAACCTAAAATTGCTATGAAGGTAATTTTAGACCCCAAAATGTGTGAAATTTAGCCAATACGATCATACCAATTCAGCTCCACTTATAAAAAAAACACGGTGACCGTTAATAAATTTTCAAATTAAAAATAACAATACATGATCCGGCTAATTGTGGGTAATATAAGCAACACGAAAATGCCAACAAAAAAGCCAACATCGGCATACGACGTAAACGGCGTTCTTTTGTTTTTTTCAACGTTTTTTTCAAATTTTTCAAAATATCTAATATTTGTAATGGTACACATGTATTAGAAATCGTTATATTTCAGCCGTCTCTGAACCGATTCAGATCAAACAAAGATGATTTTGTCATTTAAATATTATGTTCTTTAAAAGTACTATGTCCCTTTTGCAGCCAACCTCAAATTCTGTAGAGCTTTGCAGGAATTATGAATATGTCATGTCATCTGTGAATTTAAACGTTAGCAGTGTCCTCATATTCAAATTATGCAAGGAAACCCGTTTACTTGCTAGACTTCACTGTCAGACACTATTGAATGGCTGACTGGCTTTTTTTTCCTTCTTTGGTAATAACATAATGAAAAGGGTTGTAAAGGATACAAGTCATGAGCATTTGTCTACATCAATAACCCACTTCTTGTGATGGCCAAGATTAAACTGATTGAATCTTTGTGCAGCATAAAATGTATGACCATTCGGTACAATTGTCTAAAATCAAGACTATTACTTTTGGGCTCTATAGCCCTAAAGTCGAATTGACAACTAATAGTCGTTATTTTCCCACTTAAAGACATTTTCGAGCCCCACTTTTTTAGGGAAGTTCTTAATTAGTATTATCATTCAAATGCAGTTGGAATTTACCTTTTTCATTTTTTTGGCCTACAAAAGGGACATAGTACCTTTAAGATTTGACACTCTTTTTTTCATTATCTCACAACAAAATATTTTGTGTAGCGCCCTCTGCAACAGAACTCAACTATCCCTTTAGGTGTTTTATATTTCCAGTGTCTTTTAGACAGAGTCATCTTGTATAAATCAGTATCAGGATGGTTAATACTCCCGATAGATAACCCATGCAATTTTCAATAGCCTTGTGCGTTACCTAGTGATGAGTGTGGTGCATGGCAATCAGGTATTGCGTAATCAGAACATGCATATAGCTCCGTTTAGTCTCATTTGACAACGCCCCCTATCGTCAGAGTCCAGCAGCCTATAAGCATGTTAGCCTATGGACTTTTACAAGAGAAAATCGTTAAAGTTCATTTGTTGTTTAAACGAAAAGCACACCCACCCCGAAGTACGTTATCACTAGCTCTTTCATTGGAACTCTCATGTCCCATTGACTTTTGAAAGTTCACACACCGTAATTTGATCAAAATAAGTCGCAAGCTCGCCATTGCATATATAACGCATGTGTAACAAGTCGAACTTTGGACGCAACTTACCACACGATTGTAAGATTATAGGTCAAGCACACGAAGGATAACAAGCATGAATTATCATAGATCAGGTCTGCTTGGTTCATTATGTCAACTTCAGCCACCCCCCCCCCCCATCGTAACTTTTCCATTTAGTATAGGCAAACACAAGTAAGCAAAAACATGAATATTCATGACACACCATGGACTATTCGATTATTAACAGAGGGGTGCAACTGTGCACCACATCAAACTCCCCTACTTTCAGTCAAGTATTTCATTGTATTATGTAGTTTGGTAGGTTTATTTTACTAACTGTTTAATTATCAGATATCAATGATAGTTTAAAGATATGGAAACGGTTCTTGTATTTTATATTGAGCAAAGCAATCTCACATACAAAGTCACTACCAAGTGTCGTCTGATCCGCCGATTGCCGTCTACTATATACGATCTATAGACAGCGAACTAGCTACGTTTGTGCTGGCGAAAATGGGACAACCGGAGCAATATGATAACGATGAGGTGATTTCATAATAGTTTCTCCCATCTTGTCCTGTATATTATTGTTACCGGTCAGTGACAGAAACAGTGAATGATCACATTGATACGGTCTATCATAATTAGGGTTTCGTACGGTTTTCAAACGTTCCTAATCTTAGCCACGATCCTTCCTTTATACGGTACACATTACACATTGATTTGCTATTTGATTTTATTTTTACGGCTGCTTATTTTATTAAAAAATGCCAATATTATTTCTTACACAGGTTTGATTGGATTCCTCTCCGTTGCAGTTATTGGTATCATTTTTGGTTGTATCGTCATGACAGTAATGATGCGGAAGTACAGGTATGTCTCTAATCAAAGCACATTACATTGAGATTTCATTTAGTTTTTTATTTATAGAATATAAGCGAAGGTTGAGCTCTGGAAATTGTTAACAATAGTTTGTGAGATTTGGCCGTTCTTTTGATGTCAGTTTGGAAGAATATCACAGGATGTATGTCACCTGGAAGGGATTGCCCTTCAATAACTCTTATTTTTGAAACAATACGGGAAATGGCATAAAAGTCTCGGCCCGTATTCAATACACGTCAAAGATTTATTAGTCAAAACTCCAGGATCTAGATCCAAAATCCACTCTTAATAGGCTACCAATACTTTTCTATCAACTAACTTTAAAGAGCCCCATATGGCTTTTTTATGCTGCGTTTAGAGTCCATGAAGTTAGCACTTGCAACGGCCGGCCAGTTCTTGTATTAAGGATACCGTTTACATATTCTACTGCTAGCCTAAACTAAATCAAATACCTAAATCTAACCTTTTTAGACTCATAATATGCACAAATGGTGTCTCACCTAATATTATATTAACACCCTCTTAGGGCAAAACTCTTAACCCCCCAATGCTTTTATAGAATACGCATTTTGGCGATTCCCTTCTACTACATAATCGACCTTAGGACTAAAAAAATAAATATGACGTATTGCCCTTTAGGTGCCAAAACATGGGTCAGTCGGCGGATCTTTTTTTTAAACGTTTTTTGTCCCTTTTTTTTTGTCCCTCTCTGGGCTGATATTTCTCAATTTTGAATGCCTCAATATATTTTTCCTCTAAAAACATTAAAAAAATTTTAAAAGCCGACGGTAGATTTCAAGATTTTTGGGTCATTCGCAAAGGGCAATACAACATCTATTTTTAGGCCTTATTTCAATTGCTGCCAGACAGTAACTAGAGAAAATGCAAACTCTCATTCACTTTCATCTTTTTGTCCCTGTTAATTGCCTTGAGGAAATATGTCTATTTGTACTGTCATGTGTAATTGGGTTCTCTACAACTACAGGAGATCAGCAAATGAGGCTAGTAGTCAGCAGCAAGGGACAGTGGAACATAACTGTTACAACGGACCACAACCAGGTGAGGAAGGTTATTTGGAACTTAACGTTGTCCCTCCCAAGCTACCAGGAAGATATTCACGTGATCAGGATGAAGCATACGAAACGCCACGACATGCTGACGATGGAGATGCTTACGAAAATATTTAGATCTAAGAAGAAGAAGAATACAAAATCTAGTAGTACTTCTCTAGCTCTCCCCTTTCCATTTCTCTACTCTTATCACTCTTCCTACCTCTCTAACCGTCTGCCTTTTATGTTTTACCTCCCTTTTCTCTCTCTTTTAGTTATCTTTCTCTGTTCTGAAAATATATATACATTTTGAAGAACAACGTAATTCTTTGACCATGTTAATTGTTCTTTATATTTTCCATTTGCTTTGCAATTCACTTTTATGTTTAATTATTTGAACCTGCAAGATTTAACTTCAGTTCAATGCATCATATCTCTGATTTGATGCATTTCTTAATGTTCAATTTGAATATATTAAATCAATATTTACTTTGTTTTTATTTACTTTGTACGAAATTCTGCATTTCCGCAATTTTCTTAAAGAATAATTTAATATGGAGCATATGTGTGATTATTACGCTAGATTATTTTAATTTAATCTAAATGATGGTGGGCTTTTTTTTTTTTTTTACTTCCACGTTTGCTTATGCGTTCTCTTATATACAACAAAAATATATATCTAGATTGATGTATTAAAGGTTGCATAAGAGCTCGGTATAAACGCGTTTAATAGGACATATATTCAGGATTTTCTCTAGAAACGTCCTTTCGTTAAAGATTGTGAAAGATTATTTAAAAAAGGTAGTACTTTAGACTTAGTTTCCCATTTACTGTAGATACGTCTTGTCGTTAAAGATTGTGAACGATAAACAAAAAGAAATATAGGTAGTATACTCTGTGATGAAACCTTGTATATACAGAAGCTCTAGATGTACAAAAGCTTTTTGAAATAGTAAGAAAAGATGGAACTTTGGTTAGATGTACACAATCAATCACATAGCACAACCGCCATATGTAAGGCATACTTTGTATTCCTTCTATTTAGCTCATACTGTAACCATTAGAAACATCTTGACTCTTTGTTTAAAATTAATCATAATGATTTGTATTTTAAATGTATATTCATGCTTCAATGTTATTTCATAATATTTCACTGGTATTTAACATTACATCTAAAAGCTAATGCATTGAGTTTGACCGATACACACATATCTACATTTGTATCTATCTATCTATATAGTTTTATATATATATATATATATATATATATATATATATATACAATGTGGAAGGAAATGAGAGCAAAATGGTTGAGTAGCTTAAATCAAAGTTCATATTGCTGTTCAAACTCCTGTCATACAATTGACAACTTTTTCAAACCCCTTGCAAATTTGAAGGGTTCCCCCTTTTGTTTTCTTATCTGAATAATGAAAGGTGGACTGGTTGAATGACAGTCTTTGTCGAATGCTTTCAGATTGTAAGCTTTAATATGTCACATTCTCAAGAAACATACACCGGGACGAATCAATCTTTCACAGATGAATGATTTAGTTGTTGAATGTTTTGGTATATTCATATAGTATATAGTACTCTGACATATGTATTTCTTGAAAAGTCTGATTGTAATATGCACAATCTACTCAGAGACTAATTAAATGTAAGCATAATTGTATATGTGATTAGAACTCAAGATCAATGTGATTAACCGAAACAGTTTAACGCTTGTGCTTGTGCGTGGTATATTCTTAAATAAAAGCTTTCTAGATGTAGGCATTTAAGGTGCATAAGAGCTCAGTATAAACATTTTGAATGTAGGTACGAATGATTTAGTTGTTGACTGTATGGGTATATTCATATATTATATACTCTGACATATGTATTTCTTTAAAAGTCTGATTTTAATATTCACCATCTACTCAGAGATTAATTGAATGTAAGCATAATTATATATACATGGTTAGTACTCAAGATAATTGTGATTAAGCGAAAAGGAATATGCGTTCTATATTCTTAAATAAAAGCTTTCTAGATTTAGGCATTTAGGGTCCATTATAAGAGCTCAGTATATATGTTTTAAATTCAATATATAAACCAAGATTTCCATACGTTTGAGGGTGTAAGCACCATGCTATGACTTCTCATATGAGAGTCAAGAACTATTTTCAATATGCCAATGAGTTCCGACTGGTTCTCATTATCAGTAATACGAAGATGGACATATTGAAACATTACCTGGATCTACACATTACAAATTTCCTCTTTTTCAGATAAATTTCATTACCTTTATTTAGGTACTCTGCACTTCAAAATGTTGTAACAAGAATAATAAATATAAGGAAATCAAGAAAGCATTTGTCCAAGTCTATATATTCATCTCTTTCTATAACATACTCTTCCTCCATATTCATGGCAAGATAAAGAGCCGTGCATGCTTAAAGTTTTCAACTACTGGTGCAAGTTATGATAACCGTGTAGGGTATACTGGTAAGTCAGAATGAAATCATTTCTGTTTTTGTATGAACTGCTCGGTTTTATGAGCTGTGATAACAAAATAAAACAAGATTTGCAGAGTATCAGCATTTAATCATTCTAAGGTTATTTTAGTTTAGGTAAAATTAAATGACATTGATGCGTGATATTCACTTTGACCCATAATAATAAAAAAATATATAAAAAACACTTCTCTGCGCATATCAATTGATATGCACAGTAAAAAGGTCCTCTTTAAGTTTTAAGCTATTTATGGGTTCCTCTTGCGTCGTTCAATAGAATAGACTAACCTTGAATAGGTTAGTAAGAAAAAGACTATTTGATATATGAACATCTTTGCCTGGAGAATATTCCTAAACAAAAACACAATTTGTATTCGTTCTTTGGCGTGACGCACCCTCTATTAACGGAACTATGTCCTATTTGCATGCCCCCCCCCAAAATGAAAAGGTTAAATTCTAACAGCATTTGAAAAACATTAACAATTTAGATCTTCCCTCAAAACGAAAGGGCTTGAAAATGGCTTTTAGTGGGAAAATAACGACAATTAGTCGTCGAATCGACAAGTGATTGCATTCACCTAAGTAATAGTCTGATTTTCAGCCCATATTACCAAACGGTCATACGTTTTGTGCTGCACAAAGATTCAATCAGTTTAATATCAGTCATTACACGTAGTAGGTTATTGATGTTGACAAATGCTCATGTATCTTTACAGCTTATTTCATGTATGTTATTACCAAGGAAACAAAGATGTCAGTCTGTCACTCAGTAGTGTCTGACAGTGAGGTCTAGAAGGTAAACAGGTTTCCTTGCATAATTTGAATACTAGGACACTGTTTATGTTTACATTTCACATATAGGACATAAGTGACATATTCATTATTCCTGACAAGTTCTACATAATTTGATGTTGGCTGCCAAAGGGACACAGTACATTTAAGGAAATGAATTGAAAACAAGCTGGGCCATATTATGGAGTTAACCGTTACAGAATGTGAATCAACGGATCTAACGTCAGGCTCTAATGATAACGTCCAGGAGAAGAGATTATCATTTGTTAAACGTTCAAGACGACGAGTCCAATCATAGATTGATATCAACAGTTTTACAGGCTCCCCATAAACTCATACGTAAATCAAAGGGAAAAAACATAAATATAAGGTTTTAAGAAATGGCGCTATGATAATGCTGAAATGAGAAATGAGATGTATGAGTATCATCGTCATTATGGAAAATTCAATTGTGATTACTTTGTCGGGGTATGAGGCATTCGCGTTTTAACCTTGACTTTAGGGGTGACGCATCATGCTGCTACCTCTTAAAATTAGAACCATCTCTAGTGAGGAAGGGGCCGCGTGCGAGTTGCCGTGAGACCCAAACAATCAAATAGCCTGTTTAGACAAGAGTAAATGTATACGAAACTCGAACTCGTGTATTTAAAAGTGACTTATAATACCTTTTAAATCCAGACCTACTATATTGTGTTACCCAATAGGGGAGCCCATTCACATTACAAGCTATGCTTTTTATTTAGGCTCCCCACATTTTACATTGTTCTACCCAGCCCGTTATCTATACATATTTCGAAACTTCGTATTTATTTTCCGTACATTATATTTAATTTGAAATCTATAAAAAAAAATTCTTGTGTGAAATCTATTCTTATAATAATATACGCCTGTATAAAAAAGAAAAGAATATAAACTATTTTTCTATCAAAACTTCAAACTTCAAGTAAGTAAGTAGTAGCTCTATACAGAGCGAATTTATTTTTTCATTTCTTTGCACATAATAAAAACAATGACAGACAATAACAAACGTAATAATATACCAGAAATGAGCATTGAAATATCTTTCACATTTTTTTTGGTCATTGTAATGCAAAATGATTTTGTAACAGGAAATGAAAAAAAATGAACCTACTCGAAAGCAAAGCTTGTTAGATGTAAGTTCGCACAATAATAATAGTAGGTTTAATGATGTTAGTAATACTAAAATAGTAATAATAGTTCATTTGCGTCTTCTATAAGTCATTCTCTCTTCCTCGCTATTCATCCCCTCTGTCTTTCATTTGCAAGGAACGATGGCTATTCAGGATCCCACGAAAAGTTCTGAAGAGACCGAGAAAGGACAGGGCTCCCTCTTCTGTTTGCATCATGACAAGAAACTTGATGAGTGCGTGCAGAATGTAGGTTTCTTACCTGAAAATAATGTAGAACCAAGGAGTCAGGAGAGATACTCCCCGGAACATATATTCCCCCCTACAAATAAGATGCTTTATTCTATTTGACAGTTTTAAGTTACCGGCAACCCCTTGGAAAAATATGTGTATAACCTTCCATGCACACAATGTTATAACCAATTATATACCTCACTTAAGAAACCCAGCCATCTGATTGGTCGAAATTGCATTCATAAACTTTAACTATTTCTGTAAAATTCCCAGTAACCATGGTTAAAACAGTTCTAAAATCCCAGTAACCATGGTTACCGGGAAAATAGTTCAGTCTCCATGGTTACCCCATAGGTTTACATGTTAAAAAATGGTTTGAGCGATCGAGGATACCGTATGTGTGCGAAGAATTGGTCGGTATTTTCATACAAGACAAGACAATTCCAAACAAGACAAAAATGGCTAAAGAAACTGTCCCAAGATTTCAACTTATCAAGTGCAAGACTCGCTGACAGCAAGAACAACAAAAAGGGTACGTGAAATTATCCATAAACATGTTCGTTTAGTTGCTGAAAATGGAGTACCAGCATAGACGTAGACGAAAATAGATCTAGAAGTCAGGTAGACTGCATAGAGACTGCATTGCGTGTAATCTCTATGGGAATAATTTTAGTACACAACATCGGGTGCGCGATCAGACACCCTGACTTTGTGTACTAAAATTATTCCCATAGAGATTACACGCAATGCAGTCTCTATGCAGTCTACGTGCATTGCGCGACCATGCAAAAAAAGTCAATTTTTTTTTTTTCAATTCGAGATTCAAACCTTTATCTGTTGTGATCCTGAAGGTGATACTCAATAAGTGAGGTGTCATATGAAAGCGCAGGTTCTTCTCTCTATTCCCCACACGACCGGCCCACCCCAAAAATTGTAAAAATATCTTGCTTAGACTAGAATCTAGATCTAGTTTACTCTCAATTATACACTCATAAAAAACAACCGTGCAGATAAACTAGAGAAAGGCCAAGGTGGTGTCATTAGTTGACTCTTTTGTTTTCGGCATATAAAAGTATTAATAGGTGACGCCAATATTTTAAAGGGAAATCCAACCTTCATAGCAAAAGACTCAAACACGATTGCAAATATTCTCGAAAAATCAACTTAAATGAAATAGCAATATCCTATTTGTATGTCCTATAAAACTAATGTTTGGATTATGTAATAGGTGGAATATGATTTCCTCCTTCACCCCTATGTGTCAGTACGTGCCGAATTTTCTTTACTCAGTCAGGCAAAACCATACCATTTATCAAAACCATACTGTTACCTTTCTGCTAATAATATATTTTTATTTATTGTAAAAATGTCTACTTTATTTAAAATCGCAGGTGGACATTTCAAATGGTTTGGCCTGGTCCAGCGATCGCAAAACAATGTATTACATCGATTCGCTGACGTATGGAGTGGATGCTTTTGACTACAACATCAAAACCGGTGAAATTGGTATATATAAATTATTCCCATGACTTATAAAGCCGCATATTGCTTCGGTTGTCTCATTTTCGCTTGCTGGACGTATATAGCATATATTTTGGGGTAAAAGTCGATAGGCTAACATGTTAGGCTGCTGACTCTGACGATAGGGGGCGTTGTCCAATGAGACTATTCGGAGCCATATGGATATTCAGGCAACCGAACATCCTCATGTTAAGGAAGTCAGGAGCCTGAATATCCTCATAGTTGGGCAGTGAGAAGCCCAAATATCTATTTTCTGTAATTTTCACACCAAAAAACCTAACTTTGCCCGGAATAGGCTTTGCGCTATTCAAGTCCATGCATCTGATATAATATTAGGTAAAATTATAAGCATTGTTCATTCTGCATTCATTTTGTATGATTATGACGTCATCCTCACGTGATGCGTCAAAGCCGGTGGCAGCTGGTTACGCAGAAATGCGTCACCAAACGACGCCTTGTGTGCAACGGACATAAAGTCATTGCAGATATTTAAAAAATTCACTGAGTCATTATAAGTATATGTACTACTGTTATAGGGAAAAAGTAGATGCAGTTGCATCAATTTTGGAGGATATAATCTTTTCTAACAATTTATTAAACACGACTGGGAAAAAATAGGGCTATTCACCAATGCGAAAATATTAATGATCCTCTACATAATAGGCTATATCATTCATTTCTATAGGCGATGTCATAATGATATTGACATTTTCTCCCAGAATATTTTTCGACTTTTATTTTGGGGAGGGGGGAGAGCATTTATTAAAATCCCATAGTGCTGCCAAATCGGTCTTCTTCTCACAACTTTCTTTTTACTTTTAATGCATTTAATTGTCAAATCCGCAGCAAACAGACGGCAGGTCATCAAGGTCCCTCAGTCAGACGGTATCCCGGATGGCATGTGTATCGATACTGAGGATATGCTGTGGGTAGCCATTTTTGATTGATGGTCCGTTAACAGATATAACCCTAAAACAGGTAAGAACAAATGACGAAGATAGTATCATCATGGTTCGGGAGCATAATTGTTCATAATAACACACAGTCGATGGGTCGCCAATAACCTGATGGCATCTGTTGTAAAATACTTTGTTAAAGCATTACGATTACATGCTACACAGGCAAAGAAGTATACTGTCGTCATTGGTGGAGGGAGGGGGGGGGGGTGGGAGGGGCAATGAAGCCGCAAGACAAATTGGCGTTTTAACTACCTGTAATCTAAAGGTAATCATAAGTTACTAATTATTACAAAGCTACGACTGATCAAAGGAGATAACATTATTTTTTGTGAGATACATTCAGTGTGTACTCTTTTTTATTACAGTGCTCTTATCTTTTCTAGTGCAAATTTGAAAATGTTTGTCTGATGACTTTTCCGAGTGTTTCATAGCTAAAAACTGAACCCGAATTGAATTGTGCTAATTCGTAAATCAGCAACTCAGTCTTCTTTTCTTTGAACTTCAGATGTACATAAAAATGATCTTTTCCGAACTTTCTCCCTACCAGGTGAAAAACTTCGATCCATCAAATTCCCAACCAAGAACATCACAAGCTGCTGTTGGGGCGGGCCCAATCGTGACGAACTCTACGTGACGTGTGCAAAACATTTTCTGAATGCAGACGAACTCGAAGTACAGGATACTGCTGGCTCACTCTTCCGGGTCACTGACCTTGGGGTCACAGGGGTCAAGTGTGACGTATTTAAAGATATTTAATGGTGCTTTGCATACCTTATAGGTTTAGCATGCCCAGAATAGATGCTCCGATATTTTGCTCCTGGTCTTATTTCATTAGATATCTATAGTTTATGAGTTAGGCTAAGAGTAAGGATTAAAACGTTTATTTTTCTTCAAATAAAGTCTTCATTCAATTTTCCTCAAAGCAATAACCAGTGTATAAGAAAATGTACAAAATGATGGATACGTTAATGTGACAAAGTAAGGTTCAATGAAAATAAAACAAGATTCTAGTATTTAGGCCTTGATAAGTTGGACTTGCCTCTGTCTATCAAGACATAGAATAAATCTTTCTTGTTGCGCATAGACTGTTCAACTTCATAATTATATTTTAATTTCTTTTGAAAACATGGAACCGATAAAGATCCTTCAAACATCTAATTGAGTATATATATATATACTTCTTTGCATACAAACTAATGAAATTAAACGAGGAATAATTTCCATCTTGGATGCCAAAGATGAGATTATTAAAAGTTAACTTCTGAACAAACGTACATAAATCCAAATGGGATACACCTTTCATGACAACGATTTCCAATCTGTCGGTAATCTAAATGTTGATGGCGAATTACGAACGTTCAGAGTATCAAACGAACCTTATGTGACTTTGGAAAAACAACTTGTATGAAACCATTTAATTATACAAGCAATCAAAGCCCCACTATACTACTTATAGCTACTTGCGCCCTCTATATGGCAAACAATGCCTAATCGGTGACCACTGGTCCCCCATGATCCTCTTTTTCTTAAGTTAAGTGAGAGCTGTTTTGATGAGACAACCACATGTCAGTGACCTTGAAGGGTGGTCTAATCCCTCCCTTAAAATAGTACAGATGGGCTTTAATGCAGGGAGATGCTACTCATAATATTTTTGTAAATATTAATGACAACAATTTCCAATCAGTCGGTTATCTAAATGTTGATTGCGGCACCTTTCAACGTGAACCTGTCAATAATCTGAATATTCATGATGTCCAACTCGTTCACAATCTGAATATTCATTACGTCTAACTTGTCGACAATCTGAATGTTTATGACGTATTACCTGTCAAAAATCCGGTTATTCGTGACTTTCATTTATAACCTGTCGACAATGTTATTCTCCATCTGAGTGCATCAAGATATCCCTTTATAAAGATGTTTCGTAACCTTAAAAAAATGTTTGTTACATCGACAAAGAAATATAAAAGATGATATTTTTATATTCTTATCACGACATGATTATTGTTTTCTGATGCTCATGCCTGTTTAATCCTTTTCTTCACTCTTTCCTTTCTTTCTGTATGACCTCTGGGAAGAGCAGCGCAATTCAATTAATGGTTCTGTATAGAGTGGTCCATCCGTAGTAACTAATTATTTTTTATTTTCATTAAACAGAATGTATGTAATATGTTTACATGTTTTTTATACGGAAAATAAAACCGAACCAAACTAAACTAAAAGATATGTTTACATAATAGATAAAAACTGAGGAGGAAATATTTCTATTTATAAATAATAATTATAAAAAACGGTGATTATAAAGCGCTTACCACCGAAGTCTCTAAGCGCTACAACAAACAACAAACTAACGCTATGTGAAACATGCTCATGCATGGGTGAAAAGATTCGTTAATACATTTCTAGTTACCTCGTAGAGATATGGACAAATGGGAGATGAAAATTGTGGTATAGACAGGAAGGTAGTGAGAGAATGAGAAAGAGAGAAAGAGAGAGAGAGAGAGAGAGAGAGAAATAAAGAGAGAGAGAAATAGAGAGAGAGAGAGGGAGAGAGAGAGATAGAGAGAGGAAGAGAGAGAGATAGAGAGAGAGAGAGAAAGGGAGAAAGAGAGAGAGAGGGAGAGAGAGAGAGACACACACACACACACACACACGGGGGGGGGGGTACTAGTTTTGCTAAAAGTGACATGCACCTTATGCCTATCATACATAACTGTGTACTACACAAACATGTGGCATACAAGTTTGGTCCAATCACTTCAGCTATTTCTTGTCATCTTTTCACTAACATAAAGAGAATGAAATAGCTAGCTCACAAATTATTTCCACCCTTCCCAAATCTGGATAATCTGTCTTTTTCTTCTTCTTTAAAAAAAATATATAAACCCTCCCCATTAAAAGACACAGCCCTCCACCGTTACCCAGATGACCTAAAATAAACCGGGTCCAAACAATTGGTAATACGGGAGAAAAAAATACAAAGACAGGTTCACCACGTATAGTTTACCGAACGTCAAGTTTCCAGCCACATTTTACATTTTTTTAAAGACTCGTGATGCTAAGGGAGTCATCTCATTTTAAGAATCCATCTGGCAGTTAAAAGCATTACAAAATGCTCAGTCCAAAATATCATTTGAAATACTTCTTGAAATTTATGTTTTAAAGGATGCATATGGAAGTATCCGTTATTGCTCATATGAAAAAATGACAAATTATGAAATAAATTGAGAGCTTTTATTAGGAAACAAGAGACATGTTAAAGTTAATAAAGCCCACCCCCTGCCACCGGCCCTGAAATAATATTTCGCTGCATGAAATTGCGTAAAATGTGAATTTTGTGGGCATGGATTAATATGACAAGTGTTCAAAAAGCTGTAGAGACCATGCATAACATTACAGGACTTTTACGGTTCTTAAATGAAGGTGCTTTTACATGATCTTAGAACAAATGTTTTAAGAGTCCTTTGAAAATAATTATTCTCCCCCTAGCATCTCATTTAAAAGATGTGAAATGAGAATTTATGAAATTTGAGGCTCAATAGTTGGAGAAGACCCCTATTAAATTTGCTGAACATTGCCTCCATTTTGCCTTCTCAACCTCTTTTTCATATCATTTCGTAAATCAGTATACATCAAAACATAAACGAAGAAGTTATGAACTTATTTTAAACAGAACTGGCCAGCGCTCCAAGATAAGCGAAGGTTTATGCCTTGTGAGCACTGACAATTAATTTCATGTACAAGGAAAATAAATACATCAGGGGGTTCCTTGTGATGCAAAAGTACAAAGAAGAGAAGAATGAAAGGTATAGACTAAACAGAGAGAGAAGGGAAGAGAGAGAGAGAGAGTGAGAGAGAAAGAAAGAGAGAACAAGTGAAAGAAAGAGAGAGAGAGAGGGTGGAAGGAGAGATAAAGAGGAAGGGGGGGGGTGAAGTGAGAAGGAATTACAGTTGAATGCGCACTTCACATGTCGTTTTTTGTTTTTATTGTTGACAAAACTGCGCATGCGCATCCTGTTGAAAGAAATAACTAGCACTGGACAACAAAGTTCTTGAGAATGGTTATAAGTCCCCTAAAATTATTTTGAAACTGCGAACAAATGTGACTTATGTGAAATTTGGAGAAATAGAGTACCAAATCATAAGCTGAGGAGACGTCTCAAAAATTTGCAGGGAGATGTGTGCCTTTGACCTTCCCCAAATGTCAACTCCCATAGGTTCACATGCAAAGACAAGATGATTATTCTTACCCTAGAATCTTTTTGAATTGAAACGGAATTATTTCAAATTTCAAGACATGGAAAAACATAAGAAAGGCTCAAGAGTTGGAGAAAACCCTTCATAAATTTGCAGGAAAGTGCATTATTTTTGCCTTCCCAACCACTTCATTGGCTTCTTGATAAAACTGTGCATGGCGACATGCGCATTCGGGGAAAAAGAGACAACTCCTCATCTCTCATACAGATTAACACGGGAAAACAAGGTTCTTGAAAATGGTTCTTATTCCCCTGGTATGACTTTGAAATCGGGTAAAATGAGACTCATATGACATTTGAGGACATGGAATACCACAACATAAACTCGAAAAGCTGAAGAGACCTCGGCATAAATTTGCATAAATATGCATGGGTGCTTTTGACCCGGCCCCCCCCCCCCCCCCCCACTCAGGTTTCGAAATGACCGCATGCGTGTTGCCAAAATGTCCGGTAAAAGGGTACTTTTCGTGCGACAAAGTCCGGCCCGAGAATTGTAAAAAAAAGGGGTGTATTTGACTTTTCACCCGGAGATTTCTTTAAAAAAGAAGTGTTTTTTCTTTTTTTTTCTCTCATTTCTTTGGACTCCCGAGAAATTATTCCGAATTTAGGGGGGTACATTGAGCATTTTTCCTGATTTAGGGGGGTCTCCAAGGCAGGAAAATCCCGCGAAAATCCCGCGAAAAGGGAATTCGGAAATTTTGGCAGTCCTCAGATAGGGGGTGCTTTCAAAAAGAGGGAACGAGCATATGCGTACCCGAAATAACACTGAGTGGGGGGGGGGGGGGGCTTTTGACCTTCGAAACAATCTGAACTCCGCCGGAAGATCGAATCCGGCCGTATGCACCTATTGATTCAAAGCATGATTGCAAATATTAAATCGCGCGTCAAAATATGGAATAGTCACAACAACAAGGAAATAGCCACTACATAATTCTAGATACTCGAATATCTGGTGTATCGGAATTTTCTTCAATTAATTCTAACAAGATGAAGGAACCTAATAAATTCAGAATGATTGGTTTGCTTCTGTTTATGCATGTGATAGCATCCGTATATGCAGTTGGTGAGTTACAACTTATATTTTGGGTTGGTAAATACGGTACAAAGCTTTAAACATTGGTACATGGTTTGCCTACGTGTAGTATTGTTTTGTGTGAATGTACTCTGCAAGTAATTTCCTCATATTGTGTTGCAACGTATAACCGGGATACCAGATCTCTGTTTAGTACAGTCTTATGGTTTTCTTCTCCCTTTTTATTTAAAAAATCACATGTTGTTCTTGTTTTTAATCAGATAAAGGTGTAGTCTCCAATACTTTTTGTTTAAGTTGATTGCATTTGTATTTATAATGGAGGGTGAGGCAGAAGAAGACACATTATTTTTTTAAAGTCAAACAAAGCTTTACCAATGATTACGGTTAGCAAGTGCGATTGAAAGAAATTAAACATACATCTTTTACAATAATCATTTTCGTTTCAACTGAACTGTTTTTCATCCTCCCCAGATTTATTGGGTAGACAACTTTGCCATAAGTTATGTTCTAGTGCTCAGT